CTATGAATTTGACTATGGCACCTCATATGTGAAACAGTATACTAGCTGTGCTTTCATCATTGGTTTATTTCAGTTAGCATGCCTTATCTTCTTTCCTTCTTCTTTTTTTTTTTTGTTGTTGTTGCCAGTCCTGGGGCTTGAACTCAGGACCTGGGCACTGTCCCTGAGCTTCTTTTGCTGAAGGTTATCACTCTACCATTTGAGCCACAGTGCCACTTCTGGCTTTCTGTTAATGTACTACTGAGGAATCAAACCCAGGGCTTCATGCATACTAGGCAAGCACTCTACCACTAAGCCATATTCTCAGCCCCTCACTTAACATGCCTTAAAGGCTCATGCATGTTGTAGCATGTGTCAGAATTTAATTCCTTTTTAAGGCTTTTAAAGTTCCGTTGTATCAATATGCCACTTTTGTATTTCCATTTTTCCTTTGGTAGGCATTGTTTGTTTTCACTTTTAGCTTTTGTTTATATATTTATTTTTGTTTTGTTTTTTGCAGTACAAGGGTTTGAACTTAAGGTCTCAAACCTGCTAAGCAGATGCTCTATCACTTATTCCATGCCTTTGTATTTTTTTAATCTTCCATTTAGTTGTTTGTTTTTTTCAAATAAGGTTGTTTTTTGTTTGTTTGTTTTGCCCCAGCCAGGCCTGGGCCACATTACCATTTACAGCTCCTCCATGGGATGAGGAGTGTAAGCCACTGTGCCAAGCCTTACTTTTTTTTGGGGGGGGGTCCGGTCGTGGGGCTTGAACTCTGGGCCTGGGCTCTGTCCCTCAGCTCTTCAGCTCAAGGCTAGCGCTCTACCACTTGAGCCACAGCGCCACTTCCAGCTTTTTTCTTTTTGCTTATGTGGTGCTGAGGAATCGAACCCAGGGCCTCAGGCATGCAAGGCAAGCGCTCTACCACTGAGCCACCTTCCCAGCCCCCGAGCCTTACTTTTATGCACATACTTTTAAGCATAAATTTATGTCTCCCTCACCTCATCCCCAAGATTCCTACTCAGAGCAATTCTTGTGTGTGTGTGTGTGCGCGTGTGCGCGCGCGTGTGCGTGCTGGTCCTGGTACTTAAACCCAGGGCCTGGGGGCTGTGCCTTAACTTTGTACTCAAAGCTAACACTTCACTATTTGAGCCACAGTTCCATTTTGTGCTTTTTGGTGGTTAATTGGAGCTAAGAGTCTCCAGGCTGTCTTTGAACTATGATCCTCAGATCTTAGCCTCCAGAGTAGCTAGGATTACAGGAGTGAGCCACTGCCCAGCTCAGAGCAACTTTTTTTTTTTTTTTTTTTACTTTTTTGTCTTTTCTTTTTTGGTACTGGGGATCAAACCCAGGATGCTGCACTTGCTAGGCAAGAGCTTTGCCACTGAGCTACATCCCAGCCCCCAGAGCAATTCTAAATTCAGTTTTCTTTTTGCTACCATAGTCAGGCTCTGGAAATTTTTGGAGGGGGAAGGGTGGGGCTTGAACTCTGGGCCTGGGTGCTGTCCCTTAGTTCTTCAACTCAAGATGAGCACTCTACCACTTGAGCCACAGCACCACTTCCCATTTTCTGGTGGTTAATTGGAGATAAGAATTTCACAGACTTTCTTGCCTGGGCTGGCTTTGAACCATGATCCTCAGATCTCAGCCTCCTGAGTAGCTAGGATTACAGGTGTGAGCCACCAGCACCCAGCTTGGAAATTTTTATTTTTTTAATTGTTTTATTTATTGTCCAAGTGATGTACAGAGGGGTTACAGTTACTTAAGTGAGGGGGATAATAAGTACATTTCTTGTCAAACTTGTTACCCCTTCCCTCATTTTTCTCCTACTTTCCCTCCCTCCCATCCTCCCTACCCCCAGGTTGTACAGATCATTTCCAACATATTGTCTTGTGTATATCACTGTTGCCTTGGTTCTTTGTCTCACCATTATGTTGTTCCCCTTCCCTTCCCTAATTCAAATAAACGTATATATAATACCAGGGTACCAAATACAGTGACAACAGCAGATAAACCATAGGGGGAAAAAGATACAAAAGAAATAAAAACAATCACATAGTACATTAAAAACAGTAACAACAAAGAAAAACCTCTTGTGTCCATGTCCTGGAGTTCATTTCACTTATCATTGTCTTATATAGTCATATGTACATAGCTATTGAGCTATTCTGCACATCTGCTAAGATTGTCCTAGGCATATACTACTTATTGCAAATAAGGGAAATCATGGGACCTGTGTTTCTTTGGGTCTGGCTTACTTCACGTAATATTTTTTCCAACTTTTTTCATTTCCTTATAAATGGGGCGGTATCATTCTTTCTGATGGAGGCATAGAATTCCATTGTATAAATACACCACACTTTCTTGATCCATTCATCTACTGAGGGGCATCTGGATTGGTTCCATATCTTAGCTATGGTGAATAATGCTGTGATAAACATAGTTGTGCTGATAGCTTTAGTATGGCCTTGTTTGTGATCATTTGGGTAAATGCCCAGAAGTGGGATCGCTGGGTCATAGGGGAGCTCTATGTGGAGTCTTTTGAGGAACCTCCATACTGCTTTCCAGAGTGGTTGAACAAGTTTACACTCCCACCAACAATGCAGTAGGGTTCCCTTCTGGCCACATCCCCTCCAGCATCTGTTGTTATTAGATTTCTTGATTATAGGATCTGGAAATTTAAGCATTTAAAATGGTCGATTTCCTTGACAGTGTTTCCTATAGTTTCCTAAACACAATGTACTGAACCTTGACTTTGAAAAAAGACAATCACTAGACAATATATCTTGTCCATATGAATACATATTGATCAGCTCTGTTTTACACACACACAAACCAGCTGTTTAGTGGCATTAACAACCTTTAACAGATGTGCTGCCAAGCCTTCAGGGGGATGGAAATGGGACATGGGAAAAATTCAAATGCTTCTCAGAACAATGAAAGGGAGGATCACTGAATCTAGAGGTCATGCTAATAGGAGAACTGTTCTTTTTATTGTGCCTGTGCTGGGGTTTGAACTTTGGACCTGGGCGCTGTCCCTGAGCTGCTTTTGCTCAAGGCTAGCACTCTACCACTTGAGCCACAGTGCCACTTCTGGCTTTTTCGGTTTATGTGGTACTGAGGAATCAAATACAGGGCTTCATGCATGCCAGGCAAGCGCTCTACCACTAAGCCGCATTCCCAGCCCCTACTGTTTCTTTTACATTGGGATAGTTTGAATGGCCTTCAGGGAAAGTTAGTATCCTCTTTTTTGTGTATCCTTTGTATTATTTCTTCATAGATATAGCTGTAAAGTACTCCAACCAATCAATCTGACAGGGCCTGAATGAGACCCCAAAGACTCCCCTATACTGCTGTGTGACTATATCCCATCACGCCAACCTGTGATACTGAATATGGAAAAACATCTTTGCTTATCTGGTGAAAATTATATAATTTTTCAAATGTATTTTTGTAATAAACATAACAAAAATGTATACAACTCAAAATTATACAATCATATTTGAATACATGAAAGATAGCCTAAAAAGTGGGAGATATAGTACCTTCATAAGCAGGAAACCTTAAGGAAGTTAATTATCTGTTAATTTAAATGTTTGAAATGACTCATATCTACTCAGGGATAGTGCCCAGGCCCTGAGTTGAAGCCCCAAGGCCCAATCCCCCAAAAAAGGAAGTCAAGCAGGAGGGGAGGATTGTACAGTGCTGGGGTGGGGAGAGGGGAGGGAGGAGATCTTGGCATGGGGCTTGAACTCAGGGCCTGGATGCTGTCCCTGGGCTCTTCAACTCAAGGCTAGCTCTCTACCACTTGAGCCACAGCTCCACTTCCAGTTTTCTGGTGATTAACTAGAGATAAGTGTCTCATGGACTTTACTGCCCAGGCTGGCTTTGGACCATGACCCTTAGAGCTCAGCCTCCTGAGTAGCTAGGATTACAGGCCTGTGCCACCAGCACCTGGCCCTGTCTCTTTTTTGCTCATAGCTGGCACTCTAATATTTGAGCCACATCTCCACTTCTGGCTTTTTGCCGGTTTATTGAAGATAAGAGTCTCATGGACTTTCCTGCCTGGGTTAACTTGAAACCATCCTCAGACCTTAGACTCCTGAGTAGCTAGGATTACAGGCATAAGCCACTGCTGCCCAGCTGACTGTGCAAATTTTAAAGTTGTAGTTATTTGGGCAGTGTTATTTTGATCTAGTGATAGAAAAAAGACATATAGAACAGAAAAATGTCTAGACATAATACAAACGTATTTAGGAAAATCTTATATATGAATATTATTCTATTACTGGGCAGTTGGAGATATATACTCTTCAACAAATGGTGTTTGGACAATTGATAATACAAATGTAAAAGGAAGGAAGGAAAACGGACATGAAGGGATGGAAAATGAGAAAGGGAGGAAGGAACTATTTCCCTTCAGGCCATGTGGCAGATTAAAGATCACAAATTTCCGATATAGTGCAATTAAAAATAATCCCTGGAACACATACATATGCACATGCACACACTCTTGCCTGATGGAACTGCTAGGAAAGTAAGAAAATTCCTCAGAGCTTAGTGCTGGTGGCTCACACCAGCAAAAAGATGCAAACGGAGTGTGGCTCAAGTGATAGAATACAGCCTTGAGTGAAAAGCTAAGGGACAGTGTGAAGCTCAGAGTTCAAGCTCCAGTGCCAACAAGAGATGAGAGGTGGGGGGAGGGGGAGAAAGGAGGGTCCTCACAGGTCAGAAATTACTTTTAAAAAGCATGCATGCCAAAACTGAGCCAGTGTTTGCTAAACTGAGCCAGACCACAGTGGTAGGCCTCTATCTGCTCCTTAGGGAGAGAGGAGTTCTGTTAGGGATCAGTCTCTACCCTAAAGCTGGGTCTTCTGAGAGTGGTGCAACCCTTGGGGTTCTGTGAGAGAATGGATACTTTTGGAACTGACAGAAGCATCCGACCAAATTCCTGGGGGCAATTCAGCGTTTATTTCCCTTGGACAGGGAGAAGACACGGTCCAGTTCCCATTGGCAGGGGTTCAGGACTGAGAGGAAGGCTCATTCTTGGATGGGAGCAACCATACTTTGGGAGCTGTGGACTTCGTTGGCTGAGTCTCAGTCATTCGTTGCTTGGGCAAACCCGTCTGGATGGGGCACCGATGACCTGAAGGAGAGGTGTCCTCCTCCAAGGGCACACAACAGCTGGGCAGCCCTTGGGTGCTGTAGTTCCACATTCTTACACCAGGAGCCAGTTTTATGTCTTCTGACAGAATCATGGGCTTCCACATCACCTGAGAGGTGGCCTCAAGGACAGGGGGGGTTATTTCGGGCTCTCCAGAACCCTGGTCTTCCTTTTCAAGAGATCTCAGGATCCGAGGAACCACTTGAGTACGGTCAGCCCACATCTTGCCCAGAAGCTGTGCTTCCCCTTCCCAGCCACTGGGCCACTGGGCCCCAGGCCATAGTTTGGGGCTGGCACTGTGGGTGACATCAGAAAGCGCCGGGTGTTTCAGGACAAAACGGAGCCCAGAGCTGGGGAATGGCAACTTTGACCCAAAGGATGGTGCTGGTAGGTCCAATTTTAAATTGGGACATCGGAATCTGGGGTCTGGGGCCAGGGGACTGACAGGAGCCCTAGGTTGGAAAGGAAAGCTCACTGCCCGGGGTTCATAGAGGGTGGGGTCGGTGGGGGTTTCAGGGGGTTGGGGCTTGGCCTGGATCTGGATCCTTTTGCCCCGCCGACGCCCATGGTAGACGTCCAGGGGGTGAGGGTGCGCCTGGGAGTCGGAGACCAGGATCTCTGCTAGCGGATGCACCCAGGGGCAGGGAAGCTTGGTGGGGTTCAAGCGCTTCAAGGCTGCCTGGTAGCCCATCCTGTGGTAAGAGGCATCCGGCCCCACAAGCTGCGGCAGCTGGAAGGAGGCCGCGGGGCTGGGCTTTCTGGGGCCCTCTGCGGAGGGCGAGGGCCCCGAGGAGGCTGGGGTCGGGCAGGGTATGCTGTCGGGCCCGTACTGCAGGCGGTCCCCAGCCGCGTCCGGCGGGGGCAGGTCATAGTGGAGGTCCTCCAGCACCGGGGAGGGGCTGAGGGGTAGGCCCTTCTCGGGAGTGGCCCCGGGGGGCTGCTCCAGGCCCAGGTCGGCAGGGCCCACCTCCACGGACACGCTCTCATTCAAGGACCCGGGAGAGAAGAGATGGAAGGTCTCCAGGGCGAAGGACTCCTCCAGAGTGTCCTCGGGCCCTGCCTCCAGAAGCGGCCCCGGGGTGGGCTGGAGGCCCGGGGAGGCTGTCAGCTCCGCAGAATGCTCCGAGGATTCCCGCGGCTCCTGGGAGACGCTAAGCTCAGGCGGTCTTCCCAACACCTGGTCCAGATTCCCGGCATCCTGGCGACGGCGCCGGGGTGGTGAGAGGTCGGAAGGCCGAGGGAGGGAGGAAGAGGAAGGGAGGGGAAGGGACGGAGGGAGGGAGAGGCTGGGGAAAGGCTGGGGGCGCGGTGGGGGCGCTCGGGCCGGAAGGCGGCTGTGGCCGGGCTTACTTGGCCTTCCGGGGCGGACGCTTGCAGCACCGGCACGGAGCCCTGAGCCCAGGCATCGATCGTGCACTCCGAGGTCTCCTGGTCCTCGCTCCAGGTGGGGTTCTCAGCCACGGCCGACTCGCCCTCGTCCCGGACCAGGAAGCGCCACTCGGTGATCTGCAGCATGGCCTCCTTGGCCTGGCTGATGATGAATGGAACGCACTGCGGGGCGAGGCAGGGGCTCAGCGGTGCCCGCGGGGGCGGGCGAGGCAGGAGAGGGGTCTGGAAGATCGGGATCGAGTCCCACCTGCTGGTTCAGATAGACTTTGAAGGCGGAGTCCAAGACTCGAGTTAGCAGGTCGGCCAAGATATCCCCCACCACGTCCTCGCCCTCCTCAAGGGCCGTGAGCGCGATCCACTCGGCCTCGTTGAGCCGCCCCGGCACGATCTCCACCTGCGGCACGGGCACGGTGGGCGGCCTTGCCTTCTCCGCCTTGGATCGAGTCGCCCCACGGTCTCGGGCTTGCCTCTGTGGGAACCAAACGCCGCTTTCAGGGAGGGAAAACAAGGGGAGCAGAGGGGCAGCATCGAGGGGAATGGGAAAACAAAACAAGGACAACCGTGTGACTGAGGCTTGTAGGTATTTAATCTCTTTTAACTTTCCCAACAGCCCACCAAATCCGCTTTACTGACAACGAAACTGAAGTTCAGCACGTTAGCCTTCGGTTGCTAGGGAACACACAGCCTAGGTAACAATGTTCTCATTCCATGAGTTCTCAAGAGTTCAAAGAACTTGAGTATATGCGTCAACTTAAACCTGCTGGATAGCTCCTCAGGAAGCTGAGATTTGAGGATCAGGGTTCCAAGCCAGCTCATGAAAGGAAAGTCGGAAAGTCCAATTCACCCCTGAGAGTCCAGAAGTGGAGCTGTGGTTGAAGGGGTAGAGCACTAGCTAGCCTTGGGCAAAAAGGTGCCAAGGCCCTGAGGTCAAGCCGCAGTGAGTGAGCAAGCACATGAAAGTGCGTGCACACCCACACACCTGCTATAGTTACTGGTGCTACCTAGAGTCTTCTACCTGAGTACTTATGATTTTTATTCCCATTTGATTTAATTTTCTCAGGATCATACAGCTCAAAAGTAGTGTAGCCAGAATTTGTATTTAGGCTTCTAATTCCAGAATCAGCCTTCACCCAACTTTCCAAACAAAAGCATCTGCACACTGAAATCCCCTTTGGTATAACTAAGCCAGTAAACAAAATGATCCAAAAAAGCATTTGCAGCAAATATGAAGGATCAAACAAGTATGCAAGGTGAAACAAATATATGTATTTTCAACAAATATGGAAAAAGAAATATATCCAAATATGTAGCTTAAACTCATATAAAAGAGGAAAATCATTAATGACTCCAAAGTTAAGGAAAGGATGTAATATTCCACAAAAGAGAAGTTGTAAATGAGTAACACATATTCCCTACCCCCCACAGGAAGTGCTTTAAACAAGGAAGCCCAGTTATTCCTAGCCTGAGAGGTTATACACCCCCAACCCTAACCCCATGAAGAGCGCTATAATAAATACTTTTAAATATTTAAATATATCCAGAATATATTTAAAATATATCCCAAAACACAAAGATTGAAATTTAAATTTTTTTGGTACTGGGAATCAAGTTCAGGTGATGGTAAGGTTGCAGGCAATTTGATGAAATAGAAGCTTTTTTTTGGTCAGTCGTGGGGCTTGAACTCTGGGCCTGATTGCTCTCCCTGAGCTCTTCAGCTCAAGGCTAGTGCTCTACCACTTGAGCCACAGCACCACTTCGGGCTTTTTCTGTTTATGTGGTGCTGAGGAATCCAACCCAGGGCCTCATGCATGTGCATGCGAGACAAACACTCTACCACCGAGCCACCTTCCCAGCCCAATAAAAGCTATTTTAAAACAAGGACATGCAAGACTACCAAAGTTTTAGTGTGATGCCTAAACAATGAAAAATATAGAAACAATATTTTGAAAGCCACGTGGTAGTATATATTAACACTATCAAAATAAATTTTCTTGTGTGTACTCGGGCTTGAACTAGGTCTGGGTGCTGTTCCTTAGCTTTTTACTTAAGTCTGGTATTCTACCACTTGAACTATGCCTCTACTTCTGTCCTTTTTTTGGTGGTTAATGGGAAATAAGAGTCTCACAGACTTCTCTCTCTGGGCTGGCTTCAAACTATGATCCTCAGATCTCAACTGCCTGAGTAGCTAGGATTACAGGTGTGACTCAACCAGTGCTCAGCTTCAAAAAAAAATTTTTTTTTTTTTGGTCGGTCGTGGGGCTTGAACTCTGGGCTTAGACACAGTTCAAGGTGAGTGCTCTACCACTTGAGCTACAGCACCACTTCAAAAATATTTTTTAAGAGGCTACTCTTAGGGGAGGAACACAAGATGAAATGCCTATGTATTTCTCATCACATAAAATACTATTTTGGGGGGGGGGCGGTCATGGGGCCTGAACTCTGGGCCTGGGTGCTGTCCCTCAGTTCTTCAGCTCAAGGCTAGCGCTCTACCACTTGAGCCACAGTGCCACTTCTGGCTTTCTGTTAAT